AACGCAGTCTCTTCTCCCACTCGCCCAATGGCAAGACAATAGGAGCCGATAGGAGCGAATATGCAAATTCCAGGAAGCAGTTCATAAGAAGAAGAAGGTGCGATCACTGGAACAATAATTTTATTTTCCTGACGTTTCGGATTCTGTCGAGAATCCTTAACGGTAGAAATGGTGTGAGACCTGCACAGATTGCGCGCTATTTATAGTTCGTAGCGGCCATCCGCATGCGTACTATAATTATCAGCTTCTGTAACCACCGCTTGGGTTCTTAACGGGTGCGGTGATGGCTTGAAAGATCGCTTTCTAGTCAGTATTGGCCGGGATGGCTGCTACGAACTATAAATACCGCGCAATCTGTGCATGTATCATCCCTTTCTGCACATGTCTCACACCATTCTATGATTAACGCTTTATTTTTAAACCAGAGTTCCAAATTTTTCAGCGAAAACGTCCCCCGTTCCACAAAAATAAAAGAGGCGCACAATCTCACAACACCAGGACATCAAAAGTAATCCGTCATCGAAAATGACCGCAATTTTCGACATCAAAGATAAACGTCCCAGAAAGAGTCGTCGAATATAGGCCAAATTGCACTGCATTCAAAACAGCGCTAGGGTTGTGACCTTGCATTGCATTTCATATAAACAAAGAGGGATAGAGATCGGTTTTTAATGGGCGAAGTAAGCCAACCGATGTGTATATAACAAAATTCACATGGAAGTAGGGGGAGGGGGAAAATGGCGGCTCCAATTGAAAAGCCCGCCAGTGATCGCATCTTCTTCTTCTAAATTCAAGATGAGCGGAGATGTGGTTGCGCGGAGGTGCCGTTGCGGAGTGAGCCAGCCCCCACGCTTGTCACTACGCTCCCCCACCCCCCATCCTCAGGGCATGTACCACGCACACACTAATCACCCATCATGAGCCCATAGATGTGGGAAAAAACAAAGACAAAAGGAATCTAGTCTTATTTTTAATCGAAAATAAGCACCATAAAATGTGCACAAGATAGGGCCAGAAAATGTCTCAATAAAAACGCGCTCCTGCAGGATCTGGACGTCTGGTGATCCGCGGGTCAAGTGCTCTGGTCGGGGGTGTCAGCCTGACGAGGAGTAAAGTTGCTGTCACAGAGAATGTCTGGCCGAGGCGGTGACTGCGCAAATGCTGTAACGCCCAAGCGTACACGGTAGGCACCCACCAGAATTTTCTCATTAGGGGCTGGAAGCTGAAGAGACCAAGGAAAAAGACAATGAAACAAGACCCTTTATTATAATCAGTGCGAGATTCCAAACGACATGTTCCCCTCGGTAATTTCCACCACTCAAAAGCAATATCTCGAACGTGTGTAATCGCTACCATAACAAAAAACGAAATACTAACACTCGTTGATTAACGTTTACGCATCGCTACTAGGAACTCACTCGTTCTGCGCTGTCTTGGGGCATATTCTCGAGCACTGCCAGTAGCCACACTGCGGCTTCTATTCTACGCAGATAGCGTTAGCGGCAAAGACAAGGGAGACAGGACTGACCATTTGAAGAGTTTGCCCCCCCAAAAAAGGCCGTCCATTTCTTGGAGCCATGTACTCCGACGACTCATGCATCAACCGGCACATACAATGAAGTGGTATTTATGAACACTTCAAAGAACGGTGGAAGAGAGGAAGGCGGTACGACACAGACTGACTGAGGCCGCAGCTGCCAATCAGGCCTCGCCCCGTATAACTATTGATTTTTTCTGCACGTTTGAAATTTTAGTTTTTTATTGCACAGTTCCTGTTAGTCCGAAGACGAGCCGGGGCACTAGACTCGAAAATTCACTAATTAAAGTTACTTTATATCCCAAAGCACATATCCTTCTTCGAATTAAAATTTCTTGGAATGTGTGTTTTCCAGTTTATACGAAAGAACTGGCCATTTTTGGCTCATTAGGTGTTGAAGAATCCAAAATGCAGAGCGGGCCGAGTGAGTTGTGTTGGCGATCAGTGAACTTTAATCAACTAGTGTCAATATTTCCTGACCTAAACCGGCAAGAAACCGAACCTGTGTTTTAATACTTAGACCGTTAGATTTTTCATGCCTTCATGCAGACTATCGTCTCAATTTCACCGTTGGGCGTTCTCTTGACGA